TTCGTGCATTCGCACACCTTGGAAGCATAGGTATCTCCTACGAGGTGCTTGAGTTTTGACGGTGTGGTTTGTGCAGTGTGCACTGCGTTTCGCTTCAGCATTGAGCAAATGTCTTCAGTATTACGGCTGGTGATACTGCCTATCGGCGTTGAATGATGTTTGACACCAATAGGACATAAATTAGCAGGTAGTGCGAATTTATTATTAGCAGATTGATTAGCAAGATTATTAGCAGACTTATTAGCGGATTTATTATTTATTTTATTAGCAGGTAGTGCGGAACTATAGTGCGGATGGTGAGTGACGCCATCTGGACCGATGCTGGAGATGGTAGCGCCACCTGCCGCCACTTAACTGCTCGCTACTTGTAACAGTGCCTGGCTGGTGCTTTGTGTTGATTGTTTGAAGCGTAGTGTAGTACCTTATGACGCATAATATAAGGTCACTTTGCAAAATGTGAGGAGCATGGACGAATTAATTTGTGAGACATTGACGCCTTAGTAATACATAATTGTTCCCAACACAAGCTATGCATTAGATTACAATGTAATTGCTCAACTTCCCATAATAACACCAGGGGCGCTAGTGCCGCGCGCCTGTAATCGTGCAGCGATTGGTCAGCCGACTGTGAGCCATGACGTCACAGCCTGTAACGTCATCTCGGCGAAGCTTGCGCCAATCATAGAGCTTAGGTATGGGCAGTTCCACACTTAGGAAACTCGCGGCCGGGGACAAAGGAGCTCACCGAGTGACGGTAATGTTCCGCGCCATCAGCTCGGAATGCGCCACCGCCGCCGGCCATTTTTAGAGGCCACGAGCCAAAATTAACGCGCTGTTGTTGACTAACTATACGGTTGTAACTTGTATTGTAAGACAAAATGCGAGGCGTGAGCACTATGCAGGCATGAACATGAACAAAACCACAATCAGACAACTTACAACCAAACAGCAGGCGTTCGATGTAAGATACACGGCATCCTTCTAAAGTTGAGCTATAGTGCTGATGTTTCGCGCTGATTGTTAGATAATCTGTGACACGACGCACTGACGTGAGCAGTCGTGCGGTGACAGGCAATGACGTGTGACGTGTGACGCTCGCTGTGACGTGTCGAGCCGTCAGTGCGCGGTGACGTGATGCCGGCGATGAAAGCGGGACCGTCCCACGCGGCGGTTCTGTGCGTTGTCATGATTTGCACGGTCCGTTGAGCGGTTCCGGTGCACTGGTGCGTCTACGGATGTAGCTGGGACTGCAGACTGCAGAGTCACCGGTAACACATTGCCGGGCGCCGCTCTCCAAAGGGGGAATGGATGTCCGGTGCGGTAACCGTCCGACGGGACGAATCAGACAGATAACATGGAGAATGGCAATGGCCCGATGCTGATCGCATGGAGGCCAGGATGGCATAGAACACGATGCATTCTGGATGCATTGTATTCTATTTAGCCTTTTTAGAATAAAGCCAACAACAGCACAATCATGTAATGCATGTGGAACAACCTTTCTGTCCAAGGCGCAATCCTTTAAAGTCAATTAGAGAATGACCTCCATTCCACTGTCCCGTGGATCGTGATAACGAGTTGCCCATTTTCACAGGATGTGAGTGAATCACGAAGGCAGACATTGCTCGTTGTTACTTCGTATTTGTAAATGTGAGACAGCAGCCAGCCAGACGCTGGGCTGAGGGAGATGAAAATGGCTTCCATGCTGGAAAACACCCATCAGACGCAAGGAAACGTCACGTAACGCAAGACGTCACGTAAGGTGCCGTGACGCCCGCGGTGTGACTCTCGCAGGCATGGCGTGTCTGGGCCCCCTCACGCTGCACGGACCGTGACTGCCACCTGCCCTGGCTGCCGTCTCCCTTTAGGCTGTCTGTGACCTTCGCACTGAGCTGCGACATCCCGTGCCGCACCCTGCAGACGTGACGTGATGCCACACAGCTAGGTGTGTTGAGTCGCGGCTGCAGCGCGGCGCCTGAGTCGTCGGGAGAGGACCGGTCTGGGTTCATCCCAGTCGCAGACGGCCGAGATGGAGAGGTATTGGTGTTTGATAGCGAACACAGTGGCTCAACTTTGGGCTGATATTGGAATAGTAACCCTGAGCGGCCAAGTTTGGCTCCAAGACTCGGTTGCTAAAACTCTCGTCTGGAGACTTCTTTAAAAGGAGCTTGTAGGCTCACAGAGGAAAGTTTGACGGGTGATGAGTTGGAGTTTGGCGCCAAAATCAAATAATTTGGACGCATGAACAAGTTTGAATGCTCCTACGTCGTTCCAGCGGTTGAATTAAACTAGGGAGCAATACTGCAGCGCGGAAACTTGCGTATCTTTGAAAGTGTGTACTGCGGAACAGTCTAACTTCAAGGCGTTTGTATTGCGGGACAGTATACCTCGCACGTGTATTGCGGAACAGCCTAACTTGCCAAAACTGCCTTTTGCGGTAAACGGGCGTTTTTACTCGTTTTGCTGCGCAGCTTTGTCAACAAAGACGAGCTCAACACAAAGCATCGGTAGCTGAGACCCCATAACGAATGTTTACAGAGCCATCCCATCTCTTTCCCGGACTCGGACCACTAATGGTGTCCCGCACTCCACCACGCGGCTGCCAAGGCCCCTCCTCTCTCTCTCTCTCTCTCTCTCTCTCTCTCTCTCTCTCTCTCTCTCTCTCGCTCTCTCTCTCTCTATCTCTCTATCTCCCTTCCCTCTCTCTCTCTCCACCTCCCCTCTTTCTCTCCCTCTCTTTCTCTCTCTCTCCCTGTCCGTCCCTCCCCCTCTCTCTTTTCCACCCCTTCCACGGCAGTCTGACATCGCAACAAGCGGGTCTGCATCAAAGTGAGAGCGATGGACTTCCTGCGAAGTCCATCGTCCGCTATTCTACCTCAGAGATGACTATCCGATGCAAACCCTCCTCATGACCGTGACCTCTGTCTCGGCTTTAACCTTGACCTCCACACCAAAACCCCACTCATGAAGGGCTTTGGCGTCTCCAGTTCACAAATCACGCAACGTACCCTCTTAATCCCTGACGGACTAAGAGTAAGTGATGTCTGTACCGGATTATAAACAGATTATAAACACCTAAACAGGGATCAGCAGCCTGACGCCACGTCCACCGCAGTGTCGCCAAGGCCGTGCAAGGACCGACGCCGGCGCGGCGGCGACTCAGCGTTGCTCAACAGACCTGACGCCGAGCACGACGCGATGGGTGCGAGATTAGCCCAGAAACCGAGCGTCTGCTTCGCCCCAGCCCCCGGGCCGCTGAGAATGGGCACTGACAGACCTCCTCTGGCATTCCATTGTGGAATCAGTCGCACGGCTATTAGCATCTTTTTATGCAGAGGCCGCGGATAAATAAGGATTGAGTTTCCTATTCGGGACAGCCGCACCCAAAGCTCATGACTCAATGTTGTTGATAAAGAGCTTATTTTAACTATATGAATTTATTTCATTGTGCATGGAATTACAAATCAGCTCTGCATGCAGTGAACAGTTGCCAGGTGCCAATATTTATCTAACAATGCTTGTTTTCTGTCGGACACAAAAAACAAGCCTTCCTGAAGCATCGGACTCGGGCAGTCAACAGACCGGCACGAGCAGTCATGAGTACACGTGGTGGCGATATTGTTTGACTCGTAAGACGGCATTGTGACGGGAGCTCCTGGAATCGGGACTTTTGTTACCGGAGTCGGTCATGCCGAAATCGTGCCGAGCCGTATTGTTGCTCTTTGTGTAACGGACAAAGAAGCTCGTGCTAACTTGTTCAGCATCAGGGGACACGATAGGAAATAGGTCAACAGATGGGGGATTCAGAATGTAGCAACTAAAAAGGGCACAACTTCTATTAATATGCAAACAAGCTTATAATATACGATGAAATGACGGCTGCTAAAGGCTTTTTTATCTTCCTACAATTCAATATATTTAATGGAATAGCCTTCTGTTCAAAATTCTAAAAATTGCCACAAAAGTTAAAAAAACAATTGAATACATTTCGGAGGCGTTCCTTCATCGGTTCAAGTGATAAACATTTTGTAGCGAAACCAACTGAAAGCTTCTAGGTAGACCTATATATAAATACAGTGGTGCAATCGATTGAAGTTCCTTGTCGACCATATAATATGGGACAGCAGCTCCTCAAAATAGCGCAGCTGTTCAGCCAATTCCAACTTCGTGATGAGTTTAGTCAATGCAATACGACAGTTTGACGAAACGGCATCAAGTCGTTTTGACTATTGACTCTAGTTCGTTTCAGGATTGACATCAGTCAGCCTATACGGATTGCAAACTGATATTGGGTGGTGTGGCTGTGTCAGCCAGCAACATTATACATAATAGGGTTATAAAAGGAGACGACGCACATTGTTCAAGATCAGGTAAAGGTGCGCCTATGGGCAACCAGCGCTTATTATCGTCAGCAAGATACGTAGGTACAGAAAAAACAGCCATGTGCTTAAAGGGACCCTCCCACCTTCAAAAAAGTTAATGAATTGGCACGAAAGTGATGTCGCTCGGTTCAGAAAGAGCGAAAACGAATATCTACCAAATTTCATCGAAAAATATTCACCGGTTTTCAAGATATTAGACTTTTACTTTTGTTTACTTTTTGGGATCTCCGCTGTTCCTAGCGACTTTATTTGAAAGTGCGGCATTTGTTGCGCGCAAAGCAGCATATACCACCGCGTGCTACCAAACGTTTTAGTAAAAGATTTAAAAATCGTTAGATCTCCGCTGACGTCACAAATTCTAAGGGGGCATACCAATGCACTAGCCCCTTAGAATCCGAAAACTGCAAGTTTGAAATTCCATATCTCCGAATTAAAGCATTTGTCGATGTTGTGAGTGCCCAAACCGGTATTTGCAGGCCATGGCCACCAATTTGGCTATCTCAACTCAAAACTAATGTTAAGGTGGGAGTGTCCCTTTAAGTGTGTCTCATGGATTGCATCTCGTTACCCAAAAACGACCACTAGTCAGCTCTGTCCCTTGTCGATGCCCCATCTCACCTTAATTTCATCGAAGGTAACTGGCTGTGTACGGAAGCGGCCCGTGCGGTTCATTTTCTTTTTGACCGCTCTGCGATAGGCGTTTGGGTGTGTCTCGAGCCGGTGCATCCGTGACAGGGGCTCCGGGTAGACGGCATCGATGGAGCGCAGCGGGCTCGACATCGTTCACCTGAAACACGGACACAGGACGCCTCTGAAAAACCTGAGGAACATCGATACGACAGAGCGACCAGCAATGGACTTGTTTCCCGACTGCTATCTCTTAAAAGAACGGTCATAGAATAAAACCGAGATCACCACGAGAAACATAAGCCGATAGGTATAACGGAATCATCATCAATTATATATTATTAATTTTTATAAATGACTCCAGGAGGAAGTCAACTGTCAAGTGGGGGAAGTGAAGTGTGATACTTAATATTTTGAAAAAAGGAGCATTTAACATAAGGGTATTGACTCTCGAGCAGCAGAGGACATTTTTTATATCGCTAACGACTGACAAACTGCCGTGGAAGAGCCATCTAACACATTGTTTTACAACATGTCAATACAAAGGCGCACATTAATTTCACACAGCGCGCCAGCACACTGTGCGGTCATAAAGCACAGAGCTGGGTCAAAAACAAACGCACACACGGACGCAATCAAAGCAAATCGATCAGACTGATGGCGGTTGCCGGCAGCTCCGGCCACCTGGGGAGGTGCGTTGTGCCAGCCCCGGCTCCTACCGGCCGCCAAAGCCAGGACGGCGCTATTTATTTACGCCCGACTGGGTGGCGGCGGCTCCGCAACAGCGCGAGGCTCGAGACGATAGGAGGCGGCGTTTCCATGGGGAAACGTTGGTTACTAAAGGCCGGGGGTGCTTCAGGTCATCCAATGATGCCACAACCACAGCGAGGCCATTTGGTAGATAAATGAGATTACTGGACGTCAAAATGGACGACCGAGCAGGCTGATGCATGTAACCGAACCGAAGCTTTATCGCCATGTCCGATCATTACTGGATATGGAAGAGGGAATTGAGTGTAAGGGATCTGACCTAATCGGAGACGTAAAGCCCCCGGAAACATCCGTTTCAACCGACTTTGGTCACGTCTACGAGTAGTAATGCTCTCTCCGTAAACACCATCTGGTAAATAAACATCCCAACGGGCGTTATCTACACTCTGTAACCACTGCTGTACCATGGCTATCGTTACTGTGTCTAAATCTGGCTCAGGCAAGGGCGTGTTAGCTCCACCCCGAGCTCTATCAAGCGGGCGTGACCATTCTTAGCCCCGCGGCGTGCTCCATTAGCTTGGACAGTGTATTTTTGGACAGCTATTGCCACGATTTACAGCGAGAGCAGCTTCCAACGGCAGCTGCACGGACGTGATTGCGACCATGCGTCAACCGAGGCGATATTTATAAACGTTGCTCGCTAGGTGTTGCACCGTTGTTGCAGGGAAAACGCCAGCTGAACTATTGGTACAGAAGTTAATGAATATTTACCAGCTCCAGCGTATGATTACCTACCCAAGTCATGCCCAAAGAGAGTGGGACGTATAACTCAGACATGCACACCGCAGCAGCTGTGGCTACTGCTGGTATTTAAATTTCCTTCGCCGTGTGTAGGCAGTCTATTAGATTCTGCAGGCTTTGCGTCATAAGCAGCTACGTACTTGGCACAGCCCGGCGGGTTTATGCGCCGTGGCCGGGACGGAGTTTGAGGAAGTCAGGGAAACCCTGCCGACATCCAGAACCGACTGTTGCTACCGGGAAGAGCTCACGCTGAATTAAGCGCAATCATTAATCAAAAGCCAGCAAGGCTACCACGCCGCTCTGGGCTTCCGCTTCATACTGGCATAAGTATACGCCAGAGAATATGTGATAAAATAGGTGTCAAGTATCCTCGTATGTTCCACGCGATGAATACAGTACCACATCACTCCCGATGCCCGATGGAAAGGCTCAGTCACCGGTGCAGTTTTCATCATCTAACAGTCGCGCCCAGTGACGTCCTGTAAACGATTCTAGCCAACTGCGGGACCACCATCGCTGCCCACTACATCATTGTCGGGTGCAGCGATCGGGGATGTCACGTCGCCGCTCTGTGCCATTGGACTGTCCAGCGTTTTGTACGTGACTGTCAGACACCACAGCTATTGTCCCGGCAG